AAAAGAAAGATTTGTACGAGCAAAAATTGCAAAAATTGAAGCAAATAATATCAAGGCAAAACCGACTCAGTCGGCAAATATATTAAAAGAAAGATTGTCAGCCGGACCTATGTCCGGGGAAATAGATACATCTTAAAAATACACGGCTCGCAGGCCGGATGAAGAAAGGAAGCAAAAAATAAATTAAGCTACTGCTGCTGCTATTGCTGTTGTTGTGACGGCTGGCCTTGGCCGGCAGGAGGAGCTTCTTGAGTTTGTTAGGCTTGGGCTTCGTCGGCCCCACCCGGAATCTGATCTTCCGCCTGCTCCTCTTCCTCTTCTGGAATGTCGGCCCACTCTTCAAAGGGCAACGGCTTCTCGGTTCCGAGAACCTGGGCATCAAATACTTCAGTGGCGTATTTGTACCTCAGGTCGAAGAAAGCATATTCAGTGTTCGGATGGATCATAGACCAAGCCATCTTCATGCGCTCTTTGCAGTCGCGCTCGTTCTCGGTCACCATCCGGTCCTGTTCAGCTGCCGGTTTTTCTTTGTGGTCCGCCTGGGTCTGGGGCAACCTGGGTCTGGGGCAACTTATTCTTCAGCTGGTTGACCTTTGCCCGCAGCTCTGTGTTCTCCTTGTCTGCATCCCCCAAGGCTTTGACGTCAGCCTGGAGGTTTTTGACTTGGAGTTCAAAGTCGGCTGCTTTCTTGTTGGCTGTATCAGCAGCGGCCGTGAGCTCCTTGATTAGCTCCTCCTGTTTCATCTCCCAGCTTTCAGTTTGGATTTCATACATTAGGGAGTTATATTGCGTAACATCAATGAGTTCGGCTGCCCTTCTCTAGGCATCCCTTACCTCCTCCTGCTTCTTCCTCAAGGGAACCTTGAGGCCTTGTATTCTGATCATTGTCTGCAAGGAACAGCTGGAAAAGGGTTAGATCATTCAAATAATGTGCAATCGGCAAAAAGATGAAAATACATTGTATAGACCAGCCGGTGGTAAGCCAAATTGGCTCTCAATGCCCCAACCGGCGATATTACCTCAGTAAGAAGGGCAGTAAGGCGGTCAAGGTTAACCTGGTGCACAGCCGGCACCGCCTCCTTCTCAGACTGGGTAAGGGTCCTCAGCTTTCTCTTAGCGTAGTTTTGGAGATCCGGCCAACGAGAAGAGGCACCTGCATCAATAGATTTATCGGTTAAGTACTGAGCATATGCGGCACCTATATTCTGCCGGCTGCCTGAGGAATCCCCTGATTGGGTAGCTTGGGACTTGACTCGCAGAGGCCCAAGCGGCCAGGGGGGATCAAAGGTGAGAGCAGTACCTTGATTTTCAGGCTGAAGGGTCACACCACCCCCAACCGCATTGGAACCGGATGCTACAGCAAGCACCCGACTTGAGGGAAACTCGGGCTCCCCAGTTCTGACCTCAGCCGGCCCTGAGCCCAAGCCAAGATCTTTCAAGCATTTGCCTCCGGATGTAGGCCTCTCAGGCGCAGGCGGCCTTCCGGTTGAGGTAGGAGCAGCCGGTACCCTCTGGCTTTTTTAAGCAGGCAAGGAGGGCTCCTCTCCCGGCTTTTCAGCATCTGCCTAATGGAGCGAGGAACATTCTTTCTCCCCGTCTGCAGAAGAAAACAACACAACCGATTAGTATCAAGATAAGCTACAAATAATGCAAACGGTAATAAGCTCAGCCGGCGCTTACCCCATCATTTTTGGCCGCCAGTTGGGCCCTTTTTTTCTCTAATTAATCCTTCCGGATCTCAGCAGCAGATTTAGCCAGTGTCTTTTCAGGCGGCACCATTTCTTATCCTTTCTCTGCAAGAAAAATCAAAAATCAGAAACCATTCAAGCATGATACAGACGGCATAAAGTGCCGATTAACAATTAACATACTTCTGCTCCAAAATGTGTTAAGGCCACAGGCGGAAAGGAACGCCTCGTCCTTAAGCCAGTCCGGATGAGGGACCCAGTGTTTGGGGACAATGACTTTTGTCCCATCATCCAAAGGCAAGGTGGTTTTTTTGAAAAGACCCGTCTCCATTATTTGGTCCCCAGCCCTCTCCGGTACTTTGGGAAGGGCGCACTTCTTGCCCAGGAGAGCCGGGTGTGTGTTGTAGCGACGCAGCCGGTGGTTAAGTTGCGGAGAAGGGGAAAAAACCATATAAAATTTGCTCTTCCAACTGCTCCACTTAGACGGCTTATCCAGCATCATCATATATTCTGGATGCGTGGTCAATTATACCACGCATTCCAACCGCCTGGGGCACGGCTGAGGTAGTGCATATGTGCAAACGCCTCCCAGCTAGGCGTTATGTCCTGCATCTCGCAGGCGGCGATGTATCCAAGTATGTTCACCCATGAGTTGGGTGTTAGCTGCCAGACGCCAAGGTCGTAACCCCTTAGAATGGCTTTTATTGTGTTGGGGAGGGGGAACCGGAGGCCGGCTTTGAATGCCGCCTCATAGCAGCCAAAATAGTCGTCGGCGTGGTCAAGGTCATCCTCCCAGACGACGGTTGCCTCGACTGGCGGCACAACAATTTCCCATCCGGCCCCTACCGGACACTTTTCTAAAAATGCCGAAAGGGTTGCGTTCAAGGTGACCACATCTCGGGCGCTCATATGCGCCTCTGTTGGATTGAATATAGAGGGCCACTTATATGCCTCCTCATCCTCTTGAGGGGCATCTGGTTCCATGGTTGACTCAGTGGAGTCTGATTGCTGGACGATCTCTTCGCCGTCTGAACTCTCAGATTCCTCCAAGATCTCATCTCCAGGCGTGCTAGGAATGCCCGGCTGGTCATAAGGTACATCATCAGCTGGAGCTTCGGCTAAGCCGTCTAACTGATATTCGGGGTCTACAGCCGTCCGTCTAGTCCGAGCCATTCTATCCTGCACATGAATAGAGACGGTCGGATTCGCAGAAGAGTAAGGGTGGTCCAAACACCCCCAAACGGCATCCCTAGTCCTAGACTCAGCCGTGTCCGGTGATCGGTTGACAACTGTCCTAGGCCGTGCTATGTGTGTGTTGGGTGAGTCCATTATTCTCTAACAACCTATACAACCGGAAAAAGCGCAAAAAAGTTGCAAGGGGCAGAGACGGTACCTTGAAGTTGTAAAAATCTGAAGACGGTTGACTCCTTGAAGTCAGCAGCCGGAAATCTGATTTGTTGCTTGGTGATACCCCAGACGGTAGCCCGGATGTACCCTCTTCAAAGAGCAACTGAATTGTTGAAGCAACCCAACCGTTTCTCTGAAATGTGGCTTGAAGATACCCAGACGGTAGTGACCGGCTGTGGGTGTATTGAAAGCTAGGGAAAATAAACGGGTGCTCAGGCGGTTTTGAAGAAAGTGACTTGAAGATGCCCCAGACGGTAGTGATCGGCTGTGGGTATATTGAAAGCAAAAGAAAAGAAACTTGACTAAGGTCAGGCAGTGTTTGAGAACTTTGAGCAAGGAACCCTCAGACGGTGTCCAGATGAGTGTAGAAAGAGGAAGTGGTTAAATGCAAAAGCAGCCGGTATCAAAGCCTTCTCTCAGAATTCTCTCTCAAAAACGAAAAATTTACAAAGTGTGAAAATGAGAAGGGGGTCTCTACTTATAGAGAACCCCAGAAGGCGAACCGTCACTTCCCATTCAAATGCAAATTCGAAATTCGAATTCAAAAAAAAAAATAGGAGGGAAGGAGACGAACCGTCACCTTCCCAGAATGTGACACCTGTCACAGGTGCCACGTGGCAAGCCATGTCACACCTGTGAGAGGCAAATGTTTGGGGTAAAAATACCCTGTCCATGTGGCCTAATGGCATGCTGACACGTGTCAGCCTCAGAGAGGCCCAAGGGGATCCAATCCTCTGCTGACATGTGGCACCTTAACCCTAAAAGGGGAACTGATCCCCTTCCACTATAAATAGAGGAAAATCCTCATTTATTACACATTCATAAATACAAACACAAAAACCGAGCAATATTAATTGCAGAATTATCTTTGAATTAGAGAGAAAAACCCTTACATTTTGCACTTTATTACATCCGGAAACGTTCTAACTTGATCGTCGGAGGCGGAACTCCACCCAACCGGATTTTCCGTGGTTTTGCAGGTATAGACGGTCGATGCGCTTTATCGGTGTTGTAACTCTCCCGAGGGACTCCAAAAACCCTGAAACACAACTTCTTGCACAGCAGAAAATTAGGAAGAAAGAGTAAGAAGTTTTTTATGCTGAACAAGCCGGATTAGAAAAAGAAGCAAGGGCTTTGTCTGCTAAAATTACTTTACAGCAAAAGGAAGAATCAAAGCCCGATGAAAATTTGTGATTATATGTTTATATATATATATATATTATTTTTAACAACTCTATTATAGGTTTTTTTATGTATGTAATATATATATATATATATATATGGATATATATTTTAATTTGTAATTATATCATATAATTTATATATGGAGGATATGTTTAAGTTGTCTGAGGATATCATTTACTTAAAAGATGATATGATTGTTTTGTTATATAGGGTCATATTCTATTTTTTGGTTGAGGATTTTTTCTTAACTGAGGATATTACATATCCGTTTGAGGATATAATTTATTTGTTTGAGGGTGTCTGACTGATTTACGAGTCAATTAATAACTAATAAGAGTGATTTTAAGAGGATATTAGTAAAGCGATATAGGATATGTTTTATTAATTGAGGATATTTTATATCCCTTAGAGGATATCATTTATACGTTTGAGGATGTCTGAGTGATTTAAGAGGATATGTTTCATATGCACTTATGATATCAAAAATACAATATAGGATATGTTTCATATGGCCTTATGATATCAAAAATACGATACAAGATATGTTTCTTATGGACTTATGATATCAAAAATAAGATACATGATATGTAATTGATGACTGCTGATATATTTTGCAGTATATATGATATTAATAATGCAATAGAGGACTTTTGATAATATAATTGTCAAGTCACATAGTCTATAAAATGTAACAGAAATATTTTGCCAAACAAATCTAAATTAGTTGTGGATTTGGAGTTTTGTTCCAAATTCATTAACATGTCTAGTAGTTGTCTTTCTCTTCTCAAAGTGACCTCTAATTCTCTTGTTTCTTCCAGGTGGCCTTCCTTTGGTTTTTGGTTGTAAAGGATCAGGTACTGTTTTTCTTCTTTCTTCTTCTTCATTAATTTCTTTAATCTTCTCCTCATCGGATTGAAACGCTTTCTTTACTGCCTGATACATCTTGTCAAGAGACTCATCACACACTTTTTTAACATCAGTGTTAGTTTGACAAATGCATACTAAATTGTAAAAATTTCTTGCAATAGTGTGTCTCCATGAAGTATTTAGCATTGTATTTTCTTCTCCAACTTCTTGCACACTTCCTGAAAATTTTTAAATACAATATGTAATATTAGAATAAGCATATTAAATATTTTTAGCAACACTTTAAACTTATATCTTATTATACATACCTTCTCTGTCTTCCCAATTTGAAGATTTTGCAGCTTTTGTCCATCTTTTCATAATATATCTTGGAGGAATGATGAACACATTATGCATATGCATTACCCTTAATATATGATAGCAAATTATTCCTGTTTCATTGAAACATAAACAGGAACAAGCAAATTCCTTCAACCTGTCATTGTAAAACACACTATGGCTGTGTTTGAACACTTCATGCAAAGACACTTCAAATATCTTTAGACCAACTGTCATTTCATTTGACACATCTCGAATATATGATCTCATACTTGTGTCATATTCCTCTTCAAAGTCTTTAAAAATGTTCAAAGTGAAAATTTCAGCAGCCTGTTTCAAGAGTTTTCATTTTGTCTTTGGCTTTTCTGTTCTACATCTAAAGTTATCTTCCTTTTCATTGCTTCTCTACCTTTGTACTGTAGCTTCAAATATATTAAATAATTTATATAATGAAGTTTTTTTGTTGGCTTTGAATGATATTGCTCTATTTGTAATTTCAGACCTTTGGGACCACAAAATTCCAGCAGAAAATATGTCTTTGCTAAACACAGGACATCATTTATCTCTTAGTTCATACAGTATATCAAACCACTCTTTCTCTTCTAATACATACTTTTGAATCATATTATTCCAACAATCATCAAATTCTTTCTTATCATCACAGCCATATAAGCATTTGTCAAACATGTTCTTGAAATCTCCATTGCTTTTTAGTTCGCCAAATCTTGATACAAAGTTTTTTTTGGAGATGCCACAAACACAACCTATGTCTTGAATTTGGTAAAACCTAAAAATTTTATTTATAAAATGTGAATTTATAATAATAAATGATATGGAATAAATGTCGGAGGATATCATCTTTACTTAAGAGGATATCATCCAGTTTTTAGAGGATATCATCCAGTTTCTGTAGGATATCATCCAGTTTTTTTTGAGGATATCATCTAGTCTTTGGACGATATCATCGAATCTTTGGAGGATATCATCTAGTTTCTGTAGGATATTATCCAGTTTTTTGAGGATATCATTTTTTTGTTGGATGATATACTTCATTCTTTTTGTGATCTGATATTAACCATTGAAATATTATAATTTAACTGAAAAGTATTATTTACCTTTGTAATTGCATTGCTCATTACTTGATCTTGATCAGTGAAAATTGTCTTTGGTTCTGCTCCAGCCATAGACTTTTTGAAAGATTCAAGTACCCATTCGAAAGTTTCTGTAGTTTCATTAGTTATAAAAGCACACCCAAACATTGTTATTCTCTAATGATTGTTTACTCCAATAATTGGTGCACATATTAAACCATATTTGTTGGTTCTATATGTGGTATCAAAGATTATTACTTCTCCAAATGCTTTAAATCTTCCAACATCATTGAATCACGCCAAAAATAACTTACTATATGATCAGTTTCACCAAACTTTAATCTGTAAAAGAATTAATAATTTGATTCTGCCCTCTCTTGTAGTGTGTCCAGTACACTTTGCATATCACCTCCTTTAATTATCTTAGATTTATACCTAGTTACATAGTTTAATAGATCTCACTTTGTGTATCCTAAAGCTTCCTCTGATTCTACTTCTCTTTTAAAAAACTCATAGCAGTCCATTGGTTTAATTCCACTCTCTACCATCTTTTCAATCACCATTCTTTTACATTTCTTTCGATTTCAAGTGATGTCTTTCTAAAGGATTAACCAAATCATGATTGTGTTTTATATTGTGTTGAATAACACAATACTCTCTGTCCTCTTGAATCGTATATTAGCCCTACAACCAGTTCCAGTCTCATTAACACACCTTACTTTTCTCTTCTTTGATGGCTCTTTTTTCTCTGTTGTGAATTCTATATTTGCTATCTCCTTTTCTTTTTCCTTTCTCTGTACCATATATCCCTCTTTTGAGAAGCAATAGTAAAAAACTTTTATTATTCCTTTTTTTTTTATCTCGCCTAAGATATTTTTTTTGAATCCAATTGCTCTTAAATGAGCTTTGTACAACGCAACGCATCCTCACGATCATCAACAACTCTTCCCATCAAAGATAACTTGATGTTTTCATCATTATCATATTTAAAATATACCAACTCTGCAATTTGAAAATATATTTAATAAGTTATAGAGAATATTAATATTAATTATTTCCTCTATGTAATTAATGATATCCTCTATTTTACGCATTATATTCTCTACTTATATGGATGACATCCTATATTGTACGCATGATATACTCTCGAGGGAATTATGATATCAAAATTATTAATGAGGTTATCATATATTGTATGGAGGATATCAGAAGTAGTATTGAAGTTATTATTTGTTTTATGGAAGATATTCTTTATTCATTGGATAACATGATATGTTCTGTACGAAAGATGATATCAAACGTAGTATTGAGGTTATCAAATTTATTATAGAGGATATCATCTATATTCATCATGATATCATCTATTCTATTATAGATTATATGATCTGTTGTATATATGATGCTCTATTTTTTACCTAAATTTTTTGTTCCTAGACTACCAATATTTTCAGATGCATATGAACGTTAAAATATACTATTAAAAATCAATGTACATACATTTTCAAATGAAGCAAAAAATTTAGATCAAAATACCTATTTTTTTCATATGTTACAGTAGATTCATTAGGAGAAATTGATACTTTTTCACGATCATTCTATGCTTGTTGAGCATTTGATTCAATTTCCGGAGCATTTGCTTTATTTTCTTCAATCGAGCTTTTATAATTGTTTGACGTTGATGCAGATAAATTTGGGGAAATTGATTCATTCTGTTCATTTTATTTTTTTTTTTATTTTTTTTTTTTACATTTTGTTTATCATTTGATTCATTTTGTTGATAATTTGCTGGGTTTTCTTCCATCAATATTCCACTTTTCTGTTGATTTTTTTGAACAAAAATATCGACGTGAAAACCTAGGTTTTTTTTTATAATATATATAAGACCATGACCCTGTTTTGGTCGGGCTTAAAACCCGTGCTTTTTTTTTAAGTTTAGGTAGGTTTGTTTAATTGATTTAGATGATATAGTTTATTTATAAAGGGATATGATACATATGTGTGAGGATTTTTTTTCCTTAATTAAGGGTATGTAATATGTAATTTAGGATTTGTTTTCATTGATTTTTAAGTTCAGGTTGGTTTGTTTAAGTTTCTCAGAGGATATGATATAAAGCTCCGAGGAATTGTTCAACTTGGTTGAGGATATAATATATATGTTTGAGGTAGGTTTGTTATATTCTTTCATATAATCAAAGGATATAATTTCCTTATAAGAGGATATGATGTATGCGGTTTGAGGATTTGTTTTTTCGATTGAGGATATGATATATGTGTTTCAGGATTATTTTTATAGATTTTAAATTAAGGTAGGTTTGTTTAAGTTTCTCAGAGATATGATATAAGGGTTTGTAACACCCCCAAATCTCCCTCTACGGAATACTAGAATAATACGTGTAACTATACCGTAGAGATATACTTAGGCTTATTACCGCCGCGTGATTACGTAAGGCTACTCAAACTTACTAAATAAAAACCAATACTTTGCAGCGGAAACTTCAATACTCTTTCTTTATTAATAAAAACCATAAATAGTAACCATTGTCATGAGTACTCATATTTAAAAACAAGGACCAACATTTCTAATCTAGATGAAGACATTCCCGAGACCCCCATATGCATAATTCCTGACTTCACCTGAAATTAGTCAACACTGCTTACCATTAAGGTAAACAGGGCGAACCAAAACAAAGAAGAAATACGGATTAGCAAAATATGCTAAGTACGATAAGTGCAAGATAACTAAACTTAATTTATTTGCAAACATGCTTTTAAAACCAATTCAAATTCCAAAACCAATTCCAATAATTCAATATTTCCATAATCAATTCAACAAAACCAATTCCTCTTTTAAAAATCCAATTCCTCACCCAAGTGTGCACACTCCCCAAGCTAGTCTCCTTATATTGCAAGACTATTCTTGAGGAAAGACTCGGTCATACAAAGTCTAAAGTCTTATCAATCAAATCCGCATAGTGGGATTACTAACAACATGCTTGTAAAGCTTTAATAAATAATTCAATAAAATTCCTCTTTGAATAAAATCAACCTTTATAATAGGTTAACTCAAAACTCTTTTTTATTTAATTCAACGTGCTTTCAAAATCAACCTTTTAATAAATACTTGAGAATTAAATCTCATATAGATAACTTTTCAAAATCAATAACTCTTCCTTTGAAAACCTTTTTAAAAACTCTTTAAAAACAATCCAACATACTTTTTTTTTGTTAAAAAAAAAAAAAAAAAAAACCAAATTCCTTTAAACATAATAAATAAATTCAAACCATTCAAAACATGATATTAAAATCAATTCTTTAAAAATAAATTTATTAAAATCAATAACTCCAAACATACTTTATTTCATAAATCATGATTCAAATCAATTTAATTCAATCACCGATAAAATCATATAAAACATGCTATTTAAACAATCACTTTCGAAGGTATCTAGCCACCTAAACGTACCTTGATTCCGAATATCAATCAACACTTCGCTCTTTCAAAGCTCAATCACGAATACACCTTGCAATTAACATAACCTAAGGTTATCACAACATCTTTAGACATAAACCCAAATCTAATGTGCAGGACTATAAAACTCTTTTAAAAATAATACTTTAATATAAAATTATAACTTTGAAATAGGTATTTATATTTTAGAAAACTAATCATGAAGAAAATAAAGGAATAGGATTAAAGAGAATTGACTTTGCGTTGGAAAGAATAGGCAGAACTTGCAGAGGTCATAACTCCTTCGATATAACTCCGAATTGGGTGATTCTTGAGCCTAACCTCAAGGATTTTTCAAGAGGAACAATTTTTCGTAAATAGAAAACCTCAAAACTGACCAGAAGTGCCGAAAATTGGCTCCAAAGATATACTGGCAAATTTTCTTTTAGAAAAGAGGAGAAGAAAAGTAGGAAAAGGTTGAGGGAAAAGAAGAGTAAAAGAGAAGAAGATAATTGAGTTTTTGGTGTGAAGAATATGAAAGGTATGAGGGGGTATTAATAGGATATTTCATGCAAGAATTATGGTAGGAGAATGTAGGAAGAATTATGGTAAAAAGAATTAAGGAATTACCTGGAGAAGAGAATGAAAGAAATATGGAAAGTTTTGATATTAAGGTGATTAAAAATAATAGAATTAAGGAAAGTGTGTTGTCATGAAAACAAATATGGCAAAAGAGATTACTTGGGGAATAATCAAGGAAGATATAAGGTAGGAAAATAAGATGATCAAATATTTAGGAGATGGAGAAATAAAATTAAGGAAAATAAGAGATTTTAAGGAGATAATTAAAAATACAATTTTCCAAAATAAATCACCCAAAATTTGACCATGAGGGCCGAAAATATTGAGCTTCCATAGCTCAAATTTTCAGATACTATTAGTATATTTTAGGGAGTTATTTTGCTAGATTTAAGGAATTAAAAATAATCGCGTAAATAATATTTATTGTATAAAATAATTAATTAAAAAGATACCAATTATTCACTAAATAAATTAACCTAGAAAATCAGATTTTCCACACTAGGAAAATCCAAAAATCTTAGTCAACCATTAGGAATTTTCAGACCTTATTAATTAACTAATAAAATATAGTTTTTGCTTTAATTAAAATATCCGAAATATATAAATAATCCGGTTTTTAAAATAAAATAAATGGATAATAAATCTTACCCAAAATCCAAAATAATTATTGAGTTTTAAAATGTATTTGGCGCCAAAATTCAAATATCATTTTGGCTCCAAAATTCAAATAGTAAAATTACTGAGATACCCTTTTTAGAAAATATTAATTAATTAATTAGAAAATACGTTTTAAAAATACGGGATACTACAGGTTTGAGGTTTTGTTTTACTCAATTGAGGATATGTTATATGTGTTTGAGGATTTGATTTTATAATTTTAGGTAGGTTTGTTAGATTCTTTTAACTAATCAAAGGATATAATTTATTTATAAGAAAATATGATATATGCGGTTTGAGGATTTGTCATTCTCGATTGAGGATATGATATATATGTTTCAGGATTTGAGGTAGGTTTGTTTAAGTTTCTCAGAGGATATGATATAAGGGTTTGAGGATATGATATGTGTAAGATTCTTTCATTTAATCAGAAGATATAATTTATTTATAGGAGGAATCAAGCCTTCTAAAAAATTGAATA